TTGTGGGACCCTAACCGCAGACCTCCCACATACTACCCCTTTTTCCAAAGGTTTTCCAAACAAATTTCCCGCTCAAGCGTTCACAGCTGAACTGCAGTAGCTGAAGCAACCTCTTCCCTAAACCGGGCTACAAAATATTTCCAAAACATAGTCTATAATCCCAAAATTGCAATAGGTCGCACAATCAATCCTTACCACCTGATACAAGAGATCCAAGGCAAACCGGACCTCACAAAATACTTATGCCACATCGACCCACCTGCGCTGAAATAATATCGCTAATCCCTGCACCCAACTAACCCCGAGCTGGAATACAACCCGATCTTGGGGTCACAAGCCTGCTCACTCCTTCGAGCTAGAAAAACTGAAAGGGCACAACCCTTAACATAAGTAATAAAATTCTAATCAACCACTTTACTTCCCATCCTCTAGTGAATCCCTGAACTCTAATCACCTACAATCATTTGATAATAAATTTCTCCTGACACCTCCAATGGCCTAACAACTCATGAAACTCCGCAACACATAGATCAGACAGAACGGGCAACTAACCCGTAATTACTGCTTATTCATACTCAATAATATTCCAAGACAAAATAAATACCGATCACGAACGACTTGACCCCAATATTATTACAAAATGGGGTTTTCCGGTTACATACCAAAGACTTCTTGCGGCTCGACCTTGATCTCCTGAGGAACGATGATCGCTGGAATCTGAATTCCTTCCGTCCTCAACGCAGGACAGCTGGACCTGAAATGAACTGGCTGGTGACAGTGAAAGCATATATGATTCTTCTTGCAATCCCGTTGCACATGCCCTCTCTCCCCGCACTTGTAGCACCTGAATTTGTAACAAGCAAATCTGTGGGTTCCCCCACACTTGCCACACACCTCCTGACTTCCAGTACTTAGGTTAGCTTTCTCCAACTCTTCGTCCTCTGCTGAAAAGTCCCTTCTCCTCTTTCTTAGTTGTGACCCCACCACTGACACTCCCCGAGTAGTCGTCCCGGTAGCAACATCTCTCACAGATTCGAACGCTGCAACTTGCTCCTCGAACTTGGCGATCACCCTGGCGGTGACCAGGTCCACGACACCGAACAATTCTTCTCGCAAAATCTGAGAAACCTCAACAGAAATCATCTCCCGTATCTGATCGACGGACAATACTGGCCTATCCTGGCCACTCGCTCCCGATCCTGATCCGAATCCCGCCTCAAATCGATTTGCCATCACCATATTGAACATATACCAGGAAGATATCAGATAATCCGCATACACGACGGGGAACCTACTCCCGACCGAACCCTAGGGGTTGTGACTTCCTTGACACGCATATGGGTCCTGTGCTTTCAGTAGTACGGGCCCATACTACCTTCCACACCTACCCATATTTGTCTCAAGTATCACCACAACACCCTACAATATACATATAGATAGCGAGCGCTAAGTCCTCACTCCTAGAGGAATAATAAATATCTCATAACTGGACTCCCGACCTCTCACTACCCACCCATCCACCAACTGCCACATGACCCTCCATTGGTGCCAGTTAACTATTGCATGAATACAATCACATACCGCACGGCTTAAACAATCTTAGACTAAAAGATTTAATCCCACAACGGTTGGACTCAGACAAGAGTTGCACAGCAGGACCAAATCCCTTACCCTAAGACCACTTAACCCATGTAGCATGTGACTTAGAGTATTCACCCAATAGTTAGTTCACACGCGAAAGGGTCACAAACAATCAATGAGGTACTCTACATAAGATAAGGCATCAAAGACCAGGAAATTCTATCATACGATTCCTAAGGATACCTATATTATTACTAGCATGCTGTTCTAACATATCACATAATATCAAATAACTTGTATGGTATTTTGAGGTCTACTTACTGGCTCTGGCTGATCGTACACTTGCATCCTCCTTTATTATTTGAAAACCATTCGAAAATTATTTTGAAAACATTTTCCTCAGTTTGAGACTGGATTCACACGAATGTTCCTCCAATTCACTCAAACCAAGGCTCTGATACCAACTTGTAACACCCATAAAAATTCAAGCCAATTTTAAACTTTTCAAAACATTTAAAACCAATAGTCATTACAAAAATTGTTTTCAAATAGTCTAATATCAGAGTTCATCCCAGAAACATGAATAAAACATGAGGAGTTGTACGATCACGCCTTCGCCTTGCCGCGATCCCCTGATATACCTGAGACAATAAACTGAAACTGTAAGTCCGATGCTTAGTGAGTTCCCCCAAAATACTGATACACTACACATAATACATATACAAATAACAACATGTATTGGGTCCATAGCTTTACAGACTGGATTACCCCTGGGCCCACAGTGTGAGTCTGGATTGCCTTACGGGCCCACAGCTCACATCTGGCTTGCCATCGAGCCCACAGTACGAGTCTCCCTCAGCTCGTAACTGGAATGCTATCGAGTGTGTAGAATGTCTAAAATGTATTAGACATAGCAAAGGTTTGCTACAACGTTCATGAGTGCTTATGAACTTGATTTGAGCATTGGAATAAACCCACGCTTGCTGGAATCACTTCATGGAATATATCACGATTGATCGCAAGACGGTAATATCATATGGTCTTAAAACCTAGATATATGGTTTATTGTTTGCTAGTTGGTTGTGCATTGATAATGCTTAAACGCATCCGTAACTTGATGTTATAAAACGCATTGTTGTGTATGATTTGATTAGTGCATAGTAAATGCATATAAGTCGAATTTTATCTGTTCCTTTTATCCTAAGAGGGTAAAAGCGATATCAGGGCCCCTCGATGATTTGATTTGACTTATGTGCCGGGCCCGGTCAGGACTGAATTTATGTGTTCAATTAAGTTCTATATCAAATGAATATGAGATCGAGACACAACCTGCTGGACAATAAGTATGACTATGTTCCACGTAATTGTCTGCACGATATCTAGAACAGAGGACTGCACGATATCTGATAAGACCAGAGTTCGACCGCGTCTTTGAGAGCTACGATTGCTAATCGGAATATGCTTACATTATAGTTACTAGACTTATCCAAGTAGGAGACTGTTGGATTAGTGTCTAAGCCCGTAACTATATTTGGTAAGTACTTGACCCGGTTGTGCATGGTCCTTTTGGGTTGCCTTCACCAAAGCAACATGATAGGATGATTTATATATAAAGAGGTTATTATGATTTATTAATATATTAAAGGAGAAATCATATGGTTTAATTAATATTAGACAATAATTAATTAAGAATTAATTCTGTGGCTAAAAGAGGTTAATTAAATAAAGGGGACTAGAACTGTCAATTGTGTGATAGTTGGTTTTGGGCTGTGGATCCTTATGGATCATGGGGTGGACGAAATTAAAGGTGTATGGACTCCTTGAATTCGTCCAAGCCCTAGTCTAGAAGGATCCTTGGACTGCTTAAGGCCTAAGTAATCTAATTAGGGTTTCAGGCTGTAACCCTAGCAGCTCAAGTATTTAAAGACCCCAAGGGCTACAGAAATCGACCACCAGAAACCCTAAGGAGTTCCTAGAGCCGATTTTGTGCCTACAACCTCTCTCCAAATCATCTTCTTGCTAGTTGGTGTTTGTAAGCCATTAGAGGAGTGGCAATTGTGACTCTAAGCTCCAAGAACAAGAAAAATCAAGCAAGCTACAAAAGGTATTCATCTAGATCTGGTTTTCTTATATCAATTTGAATTGTATACACTAGATCTAGGATTTTCAAGACTTGGATAATTGCATGTTCAATTAGAGAAACCTAGATCCAAGCATTAGGGTTTGCATGTGCACATAGAAAAGTTCTTATGGCTCAAACCCATCAAAAGCCGAGATTGATGTCGGGACCTATAATCCAGAAGGAAGCAATTCCCGTTCGACGGTCTTGAAGATGCTCTGTTGGCGTTTGAGACAATGGATTACGCTGCGATTCTTGGTTTGGGGCAGCTGGATATGGCTGGTCTCAGACTCGTGTGTGCTTTTGATGATGGTGACGATCATATGGATGGTCTTGGACACGATGGTGGTGCAGTTGGTCTTGGCGCAGGTATGGGCGGTGGTGGTGATGACAATGTTGCTGGTGTCACTGGTGGAGGCGGTCTTGAAGTTGGTGCTGGTGGTGCTGGTGGAGGCGGTTGTGCTGTTGAAGATGGTGCTGGTAGAGGCGGTGACGGTGGCATTGGTGATGCTGATGGTGCTGGTGGAGATGACGTTGAAGATAATGTCGGTGGTGCTGACGGAGGCAGTGGTGCTAGTGGAGGTAATTTTTAATCTGGGCGTGTCTCTTATGCTGCCATTCGGGGCGTGAAATATGGTTTATTGTTTGTATTGTCTATTTTCCCTTGTTTTCGTTAGGCCATGCGTGGCCTGTGTTTTGGTAAATGTTATTGAATAAGCATGTCTTGGCACTTTGTGTTAATGCTTACGTCTTGGTACTGTTTGTGTTCTAATTTTGGATTCTTTGGTCTTTTTGAATTTGCAACGTTTCTGTTTGATATATTCTCTAACACATCGAGGTTTGATATATGTGCCATGCGCTAATGCATTGGTATATTTGATATATGTGCCATGCGCTAATGCATTGGTATATTTGCTATATGTGACATGCTCTAATTACATGTAATGAAACCCTATATACATAACATCCAAAATTTCATTGTTTTTGGATATCATTGGTATGATTTGTTAAACTTTTGAAAATATAATGTATACATGAACTGTTTTTGGGTGAATGGTGTTGCTTAAATGCTACTTAACAAAAAATAAATACTTTTTATTTGACAAAATAATAAAACAGAAGGATAAAATTGTCATTTTCAACAATCATCACAATGACAATCGATCATTCACATACTCAAACAACATAGTTTCTCTCAGATAAGTTAATAACTATCAAACAATGACAAAACATCAAATACCAGGGTTAAAAGATGTAATACTGCGGTAGACAAGGGACGTCATGAAACATTTCGTCAGAGGGAGAAGTAGATAAGGTTTTATGATTGCTGATCGTCTTCTACCTCACTGTTTCTAATCCGAAAGAGCAAACTATGAGTCTGATGAAATCTCTGGGTGCTTCGGCGGTGGTGAACGTCCCCGCCGCCGCCGTCACCACCACCCAGCTTCATCACGGTACACATTCCTTCCCCTTCCTATCGTTGCCACAACATTTACCCAAACTAAACACCACCACCACCAGTATCAGCTGGAAAACAACTACCCCCGTTAGGACATCTGTCGCCGCCATCAATTCTTCCGACACCGTCGAAAAGGTCGGTTTCTATTTTTAATACGAGCATTCTAATCGATTCGGAACAAATTTTCGTATTTAAATGTCCACGTGTCGCACAGAACGGCAGAAAAGGGGTTAGGGTAATTGATAGTGTAGGAAGCGTAATTTTCAAAGTTTTACATAACGTAATGGAATTGTGAATAACTGTCAAGGAAACTGGCTAAATTTACTCATCCACACTTAGTAATTTGTCATTTGATGCTTGTTGATAACCTAGGGGTGAGCTCGAATCCCATACTTGTTTATCATCGCATGAATCAACAATTATCAGCTCGAATCTCATGTTTTAGCATAACAGATCAGAATTTTTCGCCATGTTGCAAAATGCAGGAAACAGAGAGTAAAAAGGAATACCATTTTGTGGTTGCGAATGCAAAATTCATGTTGGATGAAGAAGAACACTTTCAAGAGCAGTTGTTTGAAAGAGTCCGTCTTTTCAAAGAGAGAAATATGGAGCAGGATTTTTGGCTTGTGATTGAACCCAAGTTTTTAGACAAGTTCCCCACCATTACCAAGAGACTTAAGAGACCTGCAGTTGCTTTGGTTTCCACCAATGGTACATGGATCAAGTAAGTCCACCACCATATCTTTTTTTTTTGTCCAAAAGTTTCAAAATTTCCCATTTGTACTTTATATTTATTACTTTACTCTATTTTACCATTATAGGCAATGTACTTTTTTACAAATAATATCAATATGTAACATTGTAACCCATAGTAGCAACTTACTTGCATTTCACTACCAACATGAGCAATGTACTTTACAGTTTACATCATATTGCTATTATGGGTAAACATACATTGTAAACGCATTGCAATTATGTTTAAAGAAAAGGTAAGTACATTACTATTATATGTTATATAAAACAGTTAAGACTTAAATGAGTAAATCGATAAAATGATAAAAGTATGTTGTGCTTTTTTGTATTTTAATATGTATCTAAACGATAAACAGGTTCATGAAGTTGAGACTAGATCGAGTTTTGTTAGATAGCTTTGAAGCGGAGAGTATGGAAGAAGCACTGGCATCAAATCCTTGTGATATAGAGTTTGAGAAACCAAGTAATTGGGTCGCCCCATACCCAAAGTATGAGTCTGGTTGGTGGGGATCCTTGTTGCCTCCAATCCCTCAGACACAACAAGTATGATATGAGACAGACAGACAAACAGACATCATGTGTATTCCCATAAGCTTTGGGGAGGGTGTTTTGGTCTTTTGAGCTCACATCATGCCTAAAGCTGTCTAATTTCGTAAAATGATTAGGAATGTATGTTTGCGGTTATAAGAAGAATATTCAGGAACATCGGTATTTTTTTTTTCTTTAAAATTATGGTTGAGTTGAGTTTACTTTTTTCTCTAAGATAATCCAATTGAATGCTTGAAGCTCTATGCACCGGAATTTAATTGGATCGTAAACTGCCTACTACTAACTAGAACTTGGACAATTTGAAAATATATAAAAATACAAATTGATATTTATAGGTGTGGGTTCATTCACACCAATAACCAAGTTTTGAAATGTCCTGTAACTGATTTTCTAAGTACTCTAGAATTGATAAACATTATGAAACATAATCAATAAGGGCCTTGTTTGTCGATTTTATCGGTCTGGAGTGTTTGGGTCGATACAATTTCTCAAAGTCTTGTTTTAACGTATACTTTTGATTTCCAGAGTATGTAAAAGATTTCACCCGGTTTGGACTTTGGAAGTTGTAAAAGATTTTTAAAATTGGAGGGATATAAATCTTACCCTTCAAACCATGTGGAGAGGGCAAAGGAGTGGCTGAATTTTGTAGAACATTCGTGATGGGGTTCAAAAATAGCATTAGAACGAAGGGTATGCTTGTGTTGAGGTTGTAAAATTTGGGAATCCGAACATGTATGAAGCTGTTTGTGAGGTGGTGGAGGTGAACAAAGAAAGGGAAGATTAGAGGTGACGGTGAAGGACGACGGAGGAAGGAGGCGATGGCGTGAAAATGAGGGGCACTGTGAGGGCGGTGGCCAGACATAGTATGGGATGGTGGGTCAATTAAAGTGAGGAGGGATGTAACTTGTAAGTGAGTCCATATAATTGTAATCATAAATCAAAATAGTAAATATATAAAAACTTATAGAAATTTTAAAATTGAGATCAAACAAAATGATTGTCAAGTCCAAATCCACAATCAAACTAGACAAAACTATCATATAAGCAGTTCTAAAAGTTACTCAATTGTATTCAAAGAAATAAGCGAATACAATGACAATTTTTGTAATTTTTCTTTTATAATATATAACTTAATGTTGTGCGATGAGACAAAAACAAAATAATGATTCTAGATTTAATAGTATTTGTTTTAATTTTGATGCATTGTAATATACTAAATTTTATTCAATATTATTATCAAACACTTTCTAATTTATAAATACTAAACATGCTTAAAAAAATATCATATTAAATGAGTGAACCTCATAAAATATTTCACATAGATAAAAAACATAAATTAATTTTAAAAATAGTTAAAGGATGTTATTTGAGTTAAATAAATTAGGTAATTTTAAAGTTTTTATTTAAGTTAATAATATTTTATTTTGATAAAATAAATAAAAAAACACATTAATTAAAGTACACTTTTGTAATTTACATTTCTTAACCTTTTGGGCCGATAATTATAAAGGCCCATGGGCTATGATTACGAAATACCGAAGTCGACATTCAACGATTTGATTCGCGATTGACTTCGATGGACTTTGAACAGCAATCAAGAGAGAGAAACGACGGAGGGAGACGATGAAGCAAGCTAGCAAAGGGGAAACAGGGATCTGAAAATTGAAGTGAAAAATCGAAGTTATCGGAGTACGGAATGGATGGAGTAGCTGAAGGACTGTGGGAATTAGCGGATTTGCACGAGAAAAATGGCGAAATTGCGAAATCAGTCAAGTGTCTTGAAGCCATTTGTCAAAGCACTGTATCGTTTCTTCCCGTCATCGAAGTCAAAACTCGTCTTAGAATCGCTACTATGCTCCTCAAACACTCCCACAACGTTAATTATGCCAAATCTCACCTTGAACGATCCGTTAGTCAAATCTTCCCTCTTCCAGTTAAATTGATTTAATATGCGTTGGTTCATGTTCAGTTTGTCACGCTTCCGAAGTCTAATTTAGCTACGATGTTCTGAAAATTTCCGAACTTCATGAAGCTATGGACATTTATTTTTGTTCAGTTTGCTGTACCGTTTTTACACACAGAAAAACTTGCTATGGTGCTAGCTTGGTTATCCTGTATTCACTAAAAATGGGTACCGCAGTTGGTACCTGGTTACTTATATTGAATTTAGGCAAGGATACGGTGAAGTATTTAGCAGTATGTTTTTTCCATAATTCAACACAATGCGTTAAGCAGCTTAGTCTACTCTGTTCTGTAGTTATAAAGTAGCGAAATTGTTAATGAGCTCGTTTGTACTCTTGATTAATCCATATATAAAAGCAAAGAACATGAATCTGCATGCTTATGTCTAACCTCCATGGTACATATACAGTGGGAATGGGGTAGCATGACCATGAGAACCAAAGCCTTGAAAGGATTAGAACCATTTAGGCTTAAACAAAAAGAACTGTAATTGATTGTTTCAATATCATGGAAGCATGGCGATTATTCTAAATCACCTCTATAATTCCAAGCTCCTAGTCATTCGACTGTTTTATTCCCTCTTGTGCATATCCAAACTCATACAAGCTGTTCATTTTCTAAGAATGTAAAATAATCGTAGTCAGACATGCATAATTCCACTTGAGAGTTGAGTATATTAATCACGAGTTCTAAATCACTTTGTACCTTGTAGAATGGAAATGAGTAGATTATGCTCTCAAGCAAGATGAAAGGCCTCTAAGAAGCTAGTTAACCTCACCAGCGATAATTACTTGACCAATGTGATACAAAATATGTAAAACTCTGTATAGTTACCAACTTACCATAAAAGAGCCCTAGGCCCATTCAGCACGACAATATATAATCTCAATTTAAATTATTTGTTCCTTTTTGACTCTTTTGGTTGATCTAGAAAAAAGGTATATTGAGGTATTTGTTCACCAACCAACTGATGTGTAATCTGTGATGCTATGTGAAAATTATGGTACACTTGTTATGTTTTTATAGCATGTTGAGGTGTTTCTTGATCAGTAAGGTGAGAGGGCTCTTAAACTATGTAAATTGGGGTTAGCTAAACAGAGTTGCACTTGTTTTTTTTACAGCAACTACTCCTAAAGTCAATCCCCTCATGCTTTGAGTTGAAGTGCAGAGCTTTTAGCTTACTGAGCCAGTGTTACCATCTTGTTGGAGCTGTCTCTTCTCAAAAACAACTACTAAACAAGGGACTAGAACTTACTGCAGAGTTTGGAGAGGGGTATGCAAGTTTCCTTCCATGATTTTACTTTTACCATGCCATTTCTTTGTTACATGTTTTTCAGAGTATGGAGTTCTTCTCATAACTTTGTGTTTGAGTTGGCACCCTTTCATGCAAGTTGTTCAATTCTGATTTGTGCTAATTGCTATTGTTGTTTATTGGAAGGTTTTCTGGGAAGTTATGGTCATGCAACTTCAATTCACAACTTGCAAATGCTCTCATCATTGAAGGGGATTATCAGGGTTCTGTATCTACACTGGAGCAAGGTTATGTTTGTGCAACTGAGATGTACTATCCGGAGTTGCAGGTTTGTATGAGCTAATGCATATTTTAACTGGTGACTATAAATTCTCAACATTTGACATTATGTTTGTGTCTCCTTTATAATTTGACATTCCATTGTTGTTCTACCATATATGATTTTAGTTGCAACCATCATGAAGTTCCAAAATGCAGAGGTGCTTGCCTCTTTATTTGTTGGGTTAAATGCATGAAATAACAATGTACTTCCATTGATTTGTTTATTGTGACACCCTACTTTCTTTTCTTTCTATTACCACATTCATATATGAAAAATCTACCCAATTATATTTATAGGCTTATAACAATGTCATCCAAATACAACAGAATTTTTACTGCTATAACTGGATAGATTCTTTAAAGTGTATTGTCCTGATAAGAAAGAAGGATAATGGGTCAGATTTTACAAAGTACAATGCTGTAATAAAAAAAGTCTTTAAGTACAGTGCTGTGATATAAAGAAATGAAAGTAGGATGCTATAATACACAAATAAATGGTATTTTTGCATTTAACCCTTATTTTTTTTACTAATTAATATCATGTTTGCTGGCAATCGGTAATTCCTGTGATATTAAAGCAATCCTATTCTGTTTGCTATGCGTGTGGACAGATGTTTTTTGCAACTTCAGTTTTGCATGTACACCTCATGCAATGGGATGATGGAAGCTTAGTTGAAGCTGCTGTGAGTAGATGCAATGATATTTGGGAATCTATTGATGCAGACAAAGTAAGTTCATTTGCCTCTTACTAAATTTGACACCGAGTTTCAAATTAGTTGCAGAAATTTATATGAAATGTACATATAGTTTCTGTATAAAGACATTCTTCACAATTCTGATCTTTTCCACTTTCATGACTCCTCCTTTTGTCAAACACAGAAACAACAATGCCTTGGTTTATTCTTTTACAATGAGTTGCTCCACATATTCTATCTGCTCCGAATATGTGACTACAAGAATGCGGGTCAACATGTTGATAAATTAGATGCTGCCATGAAGACCGACTTACAGAAAATGCAGCAAGCTCGTGAGCTTACAAAAGAACTGACTATAGTAAATGAAGGTCTTTCACAATCTGATCTACCCCATAGAGATAGGGCTAAACTCAGTGCAAGAAGAAGTCAACTTGAAGAAGAAATCAGTAATTCTATTGGATCAAGTTTCAATGGTCAAGAGGGTTTAGAACCTGCATACTTTGGGAATGTGAAAAGAGAATTAGGAGACAAGCTTGAGTTGGCACCTCCTCCTATTGATGGGGAGTGGCTGCCAAAAAGTGCTGTATATTCGCTTGTTGATCTTATGTTTGTTGTTTTTAGTCGCCCAAAGGGACTCTTTAAGGAGTGTGGAAAGAGAATTCAGTCTGGACTAAAGACTATCCGAGGTTGGTCTTTCTTTTAATGTCATCACTTTAAATTATCAAATAATTAGAATTGATTCTGATAGTTAAAATTATCAAATAATGTCATCACTTTGTTGACCTTCTCTGTCCTATCTGTAAAGACTCTTTTATTTGTTTTTTTTTTTTCACAAATTTGTCCTGTGTTGTGACAAGCTTTAGAAACTAAGTTACTTGTTATATGCAGCTGAGCTGGTGAAATATGGAATAGCTGATGGCACAACAGGTAACCCTTCTGCTTATAAGTCTTAGAGGCTGTTTCTCTTTTATTTTTCCCATTAAGTCGAATATAGATAAAGTGACTGAATGGGTAATAGTCATTTAAAAATTGACATCTCTTTTTCATTTGAAGCAGAAGTGGACTTGCAGCACTCAGCCATTTGGATGGCTGGTGTGTACTTGATGATCTTAATGCAATTTCTTGAGAATAAAATAGCCATTGAACTCACTCGTTCAGAATTCGGTGTAGCACAAGAGGTTTGTTTGTTTGTATTCATTCAACAACCCTAAATGACATGAAACTGTAAAAATAATAAATATATATATTTTCAGGCATTATTGGAGATGAAGGGTTGGTTTAACCGGTATCCCACAATCTTGCAAGCTTGTGAAAGCATAATTGAAATGCTGAGAGGACAATACGCCCATTGTGTTGCCTGTTATGATGAAGCTGCTTTTCATTTTGTTGAGGCTGCAAAGGTATGCCTGTTATTGTCATGCATCTTTATGTAAATTATCATATATGTTATATAAACTTGTAAGTTTTCAGCTGACCGAGAGCAAATCAGCACAAGCCATCTGTCATATTTATGCATCCGTGTCTTACATATGCATCGGTGATCCTGATTCTTATGCAAAGGTGAAACTAATAATAATGATCTCCTCATTGGTCGGGTTTTTTGTTCATGGCTTATATGTATTTTTATGTAAATGCCTGCAGGCATTAGAGTTGATTGGACCAGTTTACAAAGTAATTGATTCTTT